GGCCATTTGAGGGGCCTAGTGGGGCCATTCACAATCGTACACATAACATCGCATATATTTCGGATAGTCAAATGTCAACAAATAAAATTGATTCACGTTAATCCTACACTAAACCGGTGGAATTATGATTCTAGCAATGAGAAAGCGGGTTGGCACTCAATGATTCTATAATCAGTTTATGCTCAAGCTTTACTATATATTGTTTACAGAAATAAAAAATCTATTCACTATCATAAATGATCACTATCCAAAAATTTTTTGATGAATTCAGAGACGTACGAATTTTATTACCTCACCGACAAACCAACGCAGAATCAGGAGTGTGAAGTAGAAATAAATCCAAAAAAATAGTAAAACCATATTCAATTAAAACCGTTTCTTTAAAACAAGATATTTTTAGCAGTGCTGGACAGTTAAAAGTATTTCACCCGGTGTACGCAGGAAGACAAATCTTTTTTTTTAATGTTCGTAGTCTCTTCATCTATCATATTTCATGTCTCTCTCCCTTTTTCCTATTACTGATTGTTAACGAAAAACTATATAATTTCATCTGAACGAACTGTCTCACTTTACTTAAGTTCATAAATCTAATCGATACCATTGATTTTACAGTAGCCGGTGAGCAAGAACATCAAGAACATAATTTCCGATATACAACCCAAAAGTATTATATTTCCAAATATAAATATCCTGTGGAGACGTTTTACACTTAGGTTATGGTTTAACCTTCACCAGAGACGTGCATCATTGACTATGTTCAGTGAAAAGGAAAATCCTAAAAATCTTATTTTACAATAACTTCATTTGAGGACGCTTTGACACTTCTTAATATTGCATACTGGGAAAAATTCCATTGTGATTTTACATTATCGATTTAAATGACCAAATTTTCCGAAAGTAAACGAGTACGAATGCATGTTTATATTGAAGATGATATCGTTTTTGAAAAGTTATATTCTAATTGCTTGTTCTTCGTATACCATTAACGGAAGAAAAATTTTCATAACCTACTTAAATTAAAGTTCAGTATCATTAAAATTTTCAATTATAATTCGAATATAGAGTGGTATTTGCAAGGTAAATCCATGATTTAAAATTGATGCGATTTCTCAATCAAGCTCATTGAATAGACTGCTAGTGACATTCATACAGAATAGTAACTAAGAACTCAAAATAATTCCAGTGTAAAATGATGCTCAAAGTTGAGTTCTTCAAAATCGATCAATAATTCACTTGGGAGTAATCATTTGCTGTTTCTGGGTTTCCTATACGTGGTCTGTATGTTTTAGACCTCACGTTTCGTCCAAATTGCGGCAGTCATCATAAAAGATGATGCGGCAATATTTATCATTATTCTTTGGATTCAAGCACTATGAATAATTCAGAGTTTTTTGTTGATCACGTCAAATAGATTATATTTCTATAAGTAAAAATTATATTTGGAGTCATTCTCGAATAGAATCTCATCGGATGATATGTATCGATTTGAATTTCAGATAATATTCTAAATAAATGTATTTCTTCTCACATATTTCATCTTAAAATACTGAATCTCCTAGCCAAACCACCACAGATCAAAATCAGATATAATTGTCAAACATTTAAAGCATCAATATAATGCAAAATGTCTCCAAAATTAGAATAATTCAGTAGTCACCTGGTTTTCGTGTATTCATTTTCTAAGAGGTACTCATTTTTGTGAACAACTTTTATTGTAATCTTTACAAATCATGGAATATTCGATTGATGATTATAATAAAATCACCTCCCGTACACTTTGTAGCGTTTACTGGAGCAGACCTCATCACAAATACATACTCAGGGGTGTTCTTAGAACAAAATATGTTCAAACTTCACATTTGTGATCCGGCTTAATACCACTACCGTGAGGCGGGTTGGCTGTCATTGTTCATCTTTCACTATCTGAACCACTGTGTGTGCTTTTTTCGGCAAGTGCTTTGGCGTAGGATGTGGGGGTTCAGCAAACCGGCCATCGGATGCCTGCTTTCACGTAGCCCCGCTGGATACGGGAATGACAGAATCTCTTGTTGTTCTGTTATTCCCTAACTGAATTTCATCTCAACAATGGCTCAATCCTAAGATGTGTGTATCCGTACTGAGAGGATGAATAACACTGAGCCTATCGGATGTCTCTACGGAACCTTCGAGATACCGGGCGCCCTCTCGTCGTAGCATCGCCTTGTCACGGTAATGCGGGGCTCTGCCACGATTGACCTTCTTTCCCTAGCTACTCGTGGGACTTTCATGGACAGAGTAAACTCAAAAATTATTTCTGACGCTGAATCTACAGCTGATCTCCCTGTTAATTTAGATCAGGAGCGAGTCTACAGAGGAGATGAATGTGGAGCTTACGACTCCAACTGACCTCCCTGTAAATTTAGGTCAGGAGCGAGAGCTTCTCAACTCTCCAACTCCTGCTTCATTAACTGAACCTAAAAAAAGGTTTGGTGGTGCAGCCAGGAAACGACCGAGTCGTCTCCTCAAGAGCGGGGTACTTTATGAAACCGCCTTGCACCAAATTCTTGAGCGGCGTACGCGGAATCTGTCTCTGGTGGAGGAACAAACCCCCCATGAGCAGGTTAGCAAACGTTTGCGCCCGAATGATGATTCGCCAAAACCAGAGGCGAAAAAGCCCTGCACGGTTGAATCTAAGGCATCGTCAGGTGTAGCTGACGTGCAAAAACCCTCATATGGGAAGGTTGTTGCGGGTATCAAGGTGGGAATCTTGCCCCTTGACTATCCGAACACCTCATTAACGACGAAACAGCAGAGCACATACTTTGTGCCCGCCCCGCTGAGGACCGAATCAGGTTTTTAGAGTTCGGCAGAGCCGTACTCTTACCATCTGACCTGATAGACTACTCACCATACAAACTAATCGGCTTCGTTAAGAAGCTGGGTTTATTTGGTTGAGCGTGAATAGGTGTGAGTGCGGTGGAGAGTCGAATAGACCCACTCACTTTGGACCTAACCTAACCCAACCATTGCCGTGGCCTAGGGTAGGTCGAAAAAGCACTGTCTAGCTAATGCTAATGGATACAACTACCTTCTTGACAAATATTATTTATTTTAACACATGTATTTATTTCATGTTCTCCAAAATAATATCAAATGACTATTGAATAATTATTCTGAATATAATTTTTTGTCGTTAGTATCATTAACTGTTTTTTTAAACGAAATATAATCTGACTCTACGCCAATGTTGCGAACCATAAACTCATTCTTTAATTTTGGTGTGATGTCCTACGATCAAGCTACCTAACTATCAGGATGTCCTGTGGTGCAAGCAGTATTAAATGGACCTCCTATAGACAATGAGCATCAATCATTGGACCAATGGAGAAATTCCGACTCAGTTTATTACTTACGTGGTTGAAAAATGACTGGACCTTTGTAAGGGTCCCATTTTTCTATTTTTGTTATTAATTTTTTTTTTTTTCGATTTTATCAAATGACCATATTTCATTTTCATCAAATGAAATTTGTGAGTATTTAACTTTTTTTGCAATACAAAACATTGAGTCGTCAAAATATAAGAAATATTTTAAATGTAGCAATGAAATGATAATTGCGAACAAAGTTATATTACGGAACAAGTTTATAATAACTTTACAAGAAATCATAATGAATTGAATTCAAAATTGACATAGAGCTGGTGGAAACAACTAATTCAAAAAAGCACACAATAAAAAAAATATTTGAGGACAAACACTAAAAAGAGAAAATGAAGGAGCACGGACAAAAAATGTAAAAGAGAAAGGCATAACAGGAAAACGGCGCAACAAAGATCTCACAGTCCAGAAAGGAGGCAAGAAAATAATAAACATCCGCGAGAAGGAAAGTCCACGAGTTGAACAAGTGACTGGAGCAGTAAGAGCCTACAAAGAGAAAGGAGGGAAAACAAGAATGGAGAACGAATGAGAAGATGATGGAATTACTAAAACATTTTTACAACAACAGGCTCAGAGAAAGCACGACCAAGAGAATCGACTAAAAATAAAAGTAAGAGAAATCGCATGAGCATGATCAACATGATTAACAAATGAGCCATCAAAGAGGCGAAAAAGAAGAGGTGTACAAGAAATTGGACGAACAGTGGAACAAATTGAAAGACGAATTTGAGAATTCTCACATGGCCAGTCAAGCGAGACCCCTTGAACAGAGTCCTGCACATATAGCATCGACAATTTGAGGCAACAGCACTCTGAGATCAGGCGATGGAAATGCAGCATAACATTTTGGAATGCAGCCAAAACGACTATTGAATAATTGTGAAAGTTATTGAACTGTGATAAGGACAACTAAACTTGAAGAAAGTACACCAATGACGACTTACAATGAAAAATTAATTGTATGAAGTATGATTAAACTTGACGTATTTTATTGAATCATTTTCAGACCAATAAAGAATGAAATTCACAAGAAATGGATTTAGATATTTTTTAATACCATTTTTTGTATATTCTTGAGGAATCTCAACCAGAAAAATTCTGTGACTGATCATTTTTCTCACTTTAGAACCTCTTTTCGACTATAATCCCTATTGTAGACTTATATCATTGATAATTCAATCACATTCGTAAAATGAAAGTGACGAAATGAGAAAATGAATTATGTACAGTGTATTCAATGGTATTTTCTGAGTTTTGAAGTCGTTATTGGTATAGATAATGAATGCATTATCAGTGCATTAAAAGATTTTCCGAAATGTGTGGGACAATTTGTGTGTTATTTTTGTTCAATTATTCAGCAAATTTCTGCTACTAGATCATTTCGTAACCTATAATTGTCATATTTTCAAAATTATATCTGTATGTTTAGTCAACAGTTATAAAACTGTCAGTGTTTATATTTTCTTTCGTACCCTGTATACATTTTTCACTTCTCAATCAGAAAACTGTCTCAGAAAACAGTCTGTAATTTGTATAGACCTTGATACTTGAAAGCAATTATTAACATCTGGTGTTTTGTTACAGGTAAAAAATGGCGATCTTTGACTCCCCAAGACAGACGACCGTACGTCGAGGAAGCTGAACGTCTCCGCGTCATCCACATGACTGAACACCCCAACTACAAATACCGTCCTCGACGAAGGAAGCATAACAAACAACGAGCGGCATCCGGTCCCGTTCCGCGGGTGGGAACTTCTTTGCCCAGTCCAAGTCTACCCAACATGTCACCCAGATACTCTGGATACATACCCAACGCGAGTTTGTCTCCGACAATTCAACAACAGGGGAGTTTCAACGGAATGGAATTTTCCAGCCCAGGAGGTAGCGTTGATTACCCCACGGAAAAAAGATTCAGTCCTGATAGTTACAAATTCAGTAATCAATACGGTTACGTGGGATACTCAAACTATGCGCAGAAAAGTCCCTACTCGATTCAGAGCCCAGAACCGTCACCAACACACAGCCCTGAGCCCAAAAGTCAAAATCCCCCTGGTAGCCCCATCGAAGATAAGTGCAGAACTGGCGAGAAGACGCCGGAGCTACCTCCTTTGGAGGCAGATAAGGAGCAGTACCAGCAGTATAAAGAAGAGCAGAGGATATCGAATATACAAACCAGCACTAGTATGAGCCCTGCCCATCAAAGTTATAACAGCAGAGTGCAGAACTACAGACAACTCAATGTTAGTTACACGAATACCCAACCCATTACTTCTGTTCCCATGGCAAATGGCATGTACATAATGTGTGCGAATAAGAGTAGCGTGGAACAAGGACAGGTAGTTACTGGAACATTCTATCCACCTGTGGCTACTTCGCAAGATCAACAGATGCTCGGTAACACCCACAACCTGAACACTGTGGCCAACATGCCCAACAGCATGCCATACTACAGTAACCCCATTTCTTCATACTACGCGAAAGAATATACCTATGAAAATCACGACACAACTAAAGAAAACTTTCTTAACTACCAACAAATGAAAATGCTGGAGAAACCGGACTACCTTAACGTCTACAAACAGCACTCCAGTATGGAAGAAGCTTACGAATACACACAGGAGGGTAATCAGTTGGTTCATTCCTACCTCCCGAACCCCAGTGAAGAACGTAGTGATGTGGACAGTGATGACGTCGACACTAGAGAGTTCGATAAGTATCTGAAATTCAGCACCTCTGAGGCTCACGCTGCTATCGATTCCAACCATAACTACCATAGGAACGATGCTGTGAATTCGAATGTGACGTACAATTTCCAAGCTCAGCATACATCTGTGATCCTGCCTAACACTAGTGTGAAGCCAGAGCCTTTTCTTGGACACTGCCCGGAAGTTTACGATTTGGCTACGAACGGTGTTCCAAAAAACGAGGATGAATTTAGCGAGATTTTAGCTGGTGTACGAAAGACCTGCTTCAGTACGTGATGACTGACTTACTTATGTGGTGACGTTCGAATGTGCAATAAACGAATTGAGTGGGACATGATAGTTTTGGTTTTGCTAGCTTGGCTGCCTATACATTGAATACATATTTGTCTTCCATATTTTATAGAGATGACGACATGAAAATCATAGCACACTAGATGCAGATTTATTGGAGTGCAACTAAAAAGTTATCAAAATATTTGTTGAACATCAACTGATAACTAATAAATAAGGCATATATACCCACATGATGAAATTTAATGAGAATCTTTTTGTATTGTGATCTATCGTGTACTCCAACTGAATACTGCCATTTCATCTGGTAACTGTTTGTCACTATCCTAGAAATTGAATGTGTATGTGTAGAGAGTGTTGATGAGTTATTCGTTCTTGGTCAATTACAAACACACTGATGATAATAGTCAAAACGTCTCAATTGGAAGTAGCAAATATTGAATATACTGAAGACAGTATACACGGAAAACACTGAACCCAAAAAATGTTGCAAGAGACAAATCGTTTTCTATTATATGACTTTAATATTCACTCATTATCATTGAAAGAATAAAAAGATTTAATTCAATCATCATCACCATCACTATATGCTAATAATTACAGTTGGGTCACGAAAAAATACACATACGTCATCAATTTCCACATCCAATATGAGTCGACAAACTACTTTGCTACACCAAACAACCTAACCGTTCAGTGGATAATTTTATAAGTTCGCTGATATTGAAATCCCAATGATACGATTTTGGGCTAATTTCATGAAAATCATCAGCACTTTATTAATAATTCTGTACGAACAAATTTCCAATTCCGACGACTGATATTAGAACTGTTTGTGTCAAATGTGATACTATGTGTATAAAAAAATGGAAAACGTAGACAATTGAAAATAAATCGATAGTACCTAATATGTCATCGCCTTATCTCAAAAACTATCATACAAACAAGAACTTCTGCTGATTAAATGCAAAGGTTTACTGTTTTGTCTTCATGTTTCACTTTTATGAGAAAGCGATGCTATATGATACTATGATTTATCATATATTTTAGTGTGTATTCTTTCGTCGATCAAACTGTAGTTATCTTGAACATATGAAGTTTGTTAATTGGGAACGTCTCCCATTTTCGAAATATCAAATTGTTATCATATTGTGTTATCATAGTTATGTGATTATGGGTGATTTCTTAATAGGCGCGACTACTGGAGAGTATTTTCGTATTTGCACAACAAACTCATACACAGGATGTTATTTTGTAGGCTTCCAACTCACAGGAAATAACATTTTTTGCAACCATGATTCCACCAACCTGAATCTTAGACGAGATCCAGCTTTGATTTTCGAATAAAGTTATTTATGGGAAAAAAATTCCAATTTGCAAGAATAAATTGCAAAAATAAAATATATAATCTAATTACTCGTGATTCTATGAATTCGATTAAAGTATAATAAACACTTTCTAGATACTACTGCGGTTCTTCAATGTACACGGTGGCCCCATCGAAAACGTACCTCAAGGCACAGGTAATTGTCAGAGAAATATATTTTCGCGAAACTTCGAATACATGTCAAGTTTGTTTGTAAGAGGTACAAGTTTTGATCTGAAAACCGTCGCAACACCTTCAACCGTATAAGCAGAAGCGGCATTTTTTCAAAGAGAATATGAATATGAAATAGAATATAAAGGTCGATTCATTAAGCTCATTGAAAAGGAATTTCAAGTCTCCCGACTTCTGCTTTGTTTTCGAAAATCGGTTTACTTGTTTGAAAAATGTGTAGCTTTGGGATGTCAGCAATACTTTATTTGAAAAAGCAAAAATAAAATCAATTTCATTTAAAATATATATTTATATTTCATATAAAATATAGCACTAGCGCATCATTTCGCAGCATAAATTAATCACTCTTCACAGTCAGGAGTGATATTTGTATACTTTTTCATGTGTCCTCATAGAGAAAAATCAGGAACTCAAATCGGGTTACTCAATTGCACCCCTTCGGCCTATCCAGGGACCTTGCAATGAATGCAAGATAATTTCCTATGATATTAGTAAGAGCTTAGTCGATAGAATTTTGAAGTACATCTACGTGAATGTAATGTTTTAAATAGACTCAGAAGAGAATTCACGAAAATAACACATTTGTTCAACTTTTGAGGGTTTTGTATGTGTGCCACGTGAAACTCCGCTATTGGCGATTGACACGGTGATTAACACGAAAGGAACTTGTATTTTTTTAATATTCGCCCAGCGCTTGCACGGCTCACGCTTGTCACAGTAACCATTTTTTTATAAACGTATTTTTCATTACAATTTGACCCAATACTGATTCCTCTACTGAGAAGTATCTGTCAGGATGCCTCTGGTTGAATATCAGCCCGATTCCTGTATTAATTACCTTCCAAAGCATTTCAGTCAATTTCACCCTATCCGGAATTGAGTACCCCATAAGTACACCACTAGACAGATCATGCCAATATTTTTGGAAGTGAAAACCCGTTATTCACTGAATGGATTTCTATTTTGAAACAATTTGATAAATTTTTTTTGAAAAACGTATTGTTGTCATTTCAAAACACCATAAAGCGTGGACCTGGTTAGGGTGCAATTGAGTGGCCTCCTCAGTAACTCGACTTGAGTCCCTTAGATTTGTTGGCAAGGACAGATGAAACACAAAGCGTATCGCATTCCACCCGACTCATTGGAAGGCCTGTGAGAATAAAACAACAATATATGTCACAAACTGACACCGATAGTGCTCCAAAATGTACAACGGTCTGTTGATAACATGTATCATTGTTTGGAGGTTGGCAAGCAACATTCCTACGGCCAGTTTTTTAATAGAAAACATTAGATTTTTGCAGTTTCTTTAGCAGTTATACCTTGCGATAGTTTTCGATTGGCCACCCTGTACATTTATCCGTTTTACCGTGGAAGCATTTTGTTTCTTTCCCAAACTGTCCAGAGTAAATTATATACGATCCTCTTTAAAGTACATAAAAATTCTAAAATAACTCATATACTTTCAGTGATATAGGTACTAGATATACACTGTGTCCGTAAAGTATGGAACAAATTCATTTTTAGCTAAACAGGTCATTTTAAGAAATAATCCTGAAACACGTCGATTTTTGATGTTAATTTACCGTATTTTAAAATAATAATCTAATATACAGGGTGAATTACGTTCGAGTAATGACGT